TTAATACATTTGTCTGGGTTTTCCATTGTTTCAGGTGAAAGTGTAATCCAATCCTTGTTATTTCACTTTGGCCAGAAGTAGAAATTTGGGATTGCTTTATAAAATTTAATTTTGTTTCATAATGTTATAAATATTTTGAGGTTCTAAAGTCAGATCAACAGAACATGTACATTCAAAGAAGATTATGTACTATCTCTGTCCCCTCTATCTTGTTTTCTTCTTCCCTGTGGTAGCAAGGGTCTACAATGGGCAATGATTCCCACCTCCTGGTATTCATGGCCTTTGTAATACCCTCCATATGAGTAAGTAGCATTGAACCAATAGAGTATGGCAACATAGAGTGAGTGTTACTTCTGTGATTAGGTTATAAAAGACTGTGACTTCCATCTTGCTTACAGATTCTTTCTCCTGCCTCATTAAATATATAAGTAACAAATTGGAGAGTCTTGCATGGCAAGGTACTGTGGGTAGCTTCCATCCACCTGCCAGCAAGGATGTGAATGCCTTTCATTTAACAATCCTTGAGACAGTGAACTCTGCCAACAATCATGTAATTGAGCTTGGAAGTGGATCTTTCCTCATTTGAACCTTCAGATGAGACGCAGCCTAGGCCAATGCCTTGATTATAGATTTGTGGGAGACCCTGAAGCAGAGGACCCAGATAATTCATGTCCAGATTCTTGACACAAAGAGACAATAAATGCGTGTTGTTTTAAGTCACTTAGTTTTGGGATAGGTTGCTACATTTCAGTAGATAACAGCACTCTTCATAGGTAATATGTTGATGGTTTATTCTTCCATTATTTGCTTTTTATTTTTCAGATATATATATATATATATACACACACACACACACATATATACACACATGCATACAGTTGATCTTCATTATTCACAGATTCCATATCTGCAGATTCACCTAATTGCTAAAATTGGCATACCCCCCGATCAGTGTGGTGCTTTTGCAGTCATAGCAGACATGCGCAGAACAGTGAAACATCAGAGTTGCCTCATGCACACATTTCCATGTGAGGTCGAACGGAGGGGATGTTCTTCCTCTTGTTACAGCTTTCAAGAGGATGGAGACAGCAGGGGCAGTGTAGTGTAAGAAACTCCAGCTCTGGGGCCACTCTAGAGTTTGAATCTAACTCTGATACCTGTCAGTGTAGTGACCTCAGGTAAGTCACTTAATGCTTCTGAACTTCATTTTCTCTTTTGTAAAATAAAGAAAGTAGAATCTACTAGGATAAGTTGATTTTAAGTTATAAAGGTTGTACAAGTTGTAAAATTCACAAAGTTGTGATATAAGATTATAATCCCTGTAATATATATGTATTGTGTGTGTCTTATGTATCTGTATGTGTATATATATATATATTTATATATTTCCCCTGGGAGCAATGTTTCAGCATTCACTAATTCTGTTTGCAGCAACCTTATATAGAACATAACTATAATGAATAATGGGAGTTGACTATATATATATTCATTCATTTTCATATTTTATGAAACTAAGTAGTAATAAACCATCTTCATTTTTCCCCATAACATTATATCCTGAATCTTACTCCATATAGTTAGAGATTTTTCTGTCTCTCTTACTGACGAACAGTACTGTTTTATGTGTATACCATAATTTGTACAACCAGACCTCTGTTAGTAGATGTTTGTCTTATTTTTTTTTAAGATTTTATTTATTTATTTGACAGAGAGAGAAACAGTGAAAGAAGGAACACAAGCAGGGGGAGTGGGAGAGGGAGAAAAGCAGGCTTCCCGCCGAGCAGGGAGCCCAATGTGGGGCTCGATCCCAGGACCCTGGGAACATGACCTAAACTGAAGGCAGACGAACGACTGAGCCACCCAGGCATCCAGATGTTTGTCTTTTTTTTTTTTAAGATTTTTTTTATTCATTCGAGACACAGAGATACAGAGAGAGAGCATGAGCAGGGGGAGAGGCAGAGGGAGGGGGAGAAGCAGGCTCCCCGTGGAGCAGGGAGCCCGATGCGGGGCTTGATCCCAGGACCCTGGGATCATGACCTGAGCAGAAGGCGGATGCTTAACCATCTGAGCCACCCAGACGCCCAGATGTTTGTCTTTTGATATCAAAAAAATAATACTAAATTGTAATGAATAATCTTTCTTTTGACCATTTTTTTGGTCTTTTTTTTTTTGCCAATGCATCTTTGAAATATATTCTTGGAAGTGGAGTTTCTGAATCAAAGGGTAAAAGTTATGACAATAACTTTTGACCGTCCTCCCCTTAAGAGGTGGGGCTCAATTCCCATTTGATTGTCAGTGGGCAGGCCTTCCTGAATCATTTTTAGCAAACAAAAGACAGAAGAAGTAATGAGATATCACTTCTAATTTAGGTTCTAAAAAGACTGTGTCTTCTATCTTGTGTGCCCTTGCACGTGCGTGCTCTCTCCTTTGACTCACTTGCGCTTGGTAGAAGCCAGCTATCACATTATGAGGCAGGCTTGAAGAGAGGGAAGACCACTACCATGTCAGGAGAATCAAGTAGCCTGTAGAAAGGTCCACATAGTAAGGAATGGAGCTTGGAAAATGATATTCTGAGATGTATCATCAGCCATTTGATTGAATCTGAAAGCATATCCTTCTCCATTTGAGTCTTGAAATAACTGCAGCCCTGACCAACAGCTTGACTGCAAATCCATGAGACTAAATCTGAACCATCCAGCTAAGCCATTCCCAGACTGACTCACAGAAATATTTGACAATAAACATTTGTAGTTTCAAACTGCTAAGTTTCAGGCAACAGATGACTAATGCATGCATTTTTGCTAGCTATTGCTAAACCGCCTATACAGGGGCTGAATCATTTTTCTGTCCTACCAATAATACAGGAGAATTCCTGATTCCCATGGCCTTATCAACACCATATATTTCCAAAATTAGAATACTTTTTTAAAACAAGGAAATAAATGAGATGTAGTACCTTACTGCAGCTTTAATTTGTATTTATTTCATTATGAAGGAAGTCTTCTTCAGTTTCTTGCTTAATGAGATACATTAGGGACAGCTTCTCATCACTCTTTGGATCAAGAGCTGCAGTTTTTACAGTTCCTACAAGGCTCTCCATGGTTTTGGCCCCTTCCCACATCTACAACTTCCACTGGCATCATTCCTTGAGGATTCTGAATTAATCATCACTGTACCCTTTGTGCCAAACACAGTGGCTACACCGTCTTAAGCCTGAGGCATGCAATAAATATTGATATAACTGTGGGAGTTTAAATTGAAGGGAATGAGCACAACTGCCCACTTCTTACCCTCTTCTTTGTCTTGACCAAAAGTTAGGCCTCTCTCTTCCCTCAGGCACCTAAGCTTTGGCTCCTCCCCAAGTTTAAACAGAGACTAAAGCAAGATGTATATGCAGAACATCCTTCCTTAACAGCTTTTTCTCAGAATGTGAGGACCCCAGAAACATTTTAAAGTGCCCTGTTTTTGCCACATGCACACTCCTACCTCTTCAAAGTTCCCGCTAACCCATCTTAACCCTATGTTAAAAAAAAAAAACGGGGGGGGCTGGAGTGGGGGGGTGGGGTCAGTTTGATTTTGAGATGCTTGCAGATTTCTGAGATTAAAGTGTTCTCCCATCTTTCATCTTTTTTAAAGATTTTATTTATTTATTTGAGAGAGAGCACAGAGGGAAAGAGGGAGAAGCAGACTCTCCACTCAGCTGGGAGCCCCATGCAGGACCCTGGGATCATGACCCGAGCCCGAGGCAGACGCTTAACCAACTGAGCCACCCAGATGCCCCTGCAATCATCTTTCTGAATAAAATCCCTCCCTAAGTCCAGATTTGTTCTTACTTGACATGAGAAATATAAGTGCTCAATGTAAAATTACTGCTCATTTAATTACATAAGCCAAAAATAATGTCTCCTTTGAAAACCATGATTCAAAATCGGATCTATTGAAGCACATGAAACATGTTAACACAAATATAACACACACACATACTCATTTTTATTTTATAAATATATAAAAGCCTGGCGTATGACCTAATGGTTATGGTAAGTGGTTTGTAGGTTTTTTCACGTGATATTTTCCTGAAATCTAACCTCCTCGCTGGCTTCCTCTCCATTTTTTTCTTGTTTTTCAGTCTCTCCTTTCTCTGTCTCAATCTCCCTCTCTCTCTGAGTCTCCCGCGTTGTGTCCTTTAGCGTCCCACTTCTGTCCCTCTGCGCCCCGTTTTCTGCCCTTCAGGCTCCCACCGCTGCCTACACGGGCCTCTCCTTTGCCCCGTTATCGCAGCCCCTACTGTCTTCGGCTTCTCAACGTCATCGCTCTGGGCCTCAGTCTCCTCCCCGTCTCTGTTTTCCTTTCTTCTTCAGTCCGCCCCTGCAACTCCCTCCTACATTAGTAATTTCCCCTAGAGAATTCCTTATAATCGCTTTTAGTTTAAAGTTCATTTCTGCTGCATATCCCTTTCCTCCACCCACCACCACCTTGGCCCCTCTTTCCCACAGCGGCATCTCCGCGGAGGGGACTGTACCATTTCACGTTTCACCCCTCTCAGCAAGTAGAATCTCCCGGTGTAGGGCTGTACCATTTACAAACATGTTTAAGTAGTGTCGTCAATGAGAGTATTTTAACATTCCAAATTCCTCCTCTTTCACCAAATGCAATATTTTAATAGAGGTCGTATCACTCAAACTTCTTCCCCAATCATCCTGTAAAAGCTCTCTGCAAAACCTCGTGCCTCACTGGTAAAGTCCTCCTTTCTGTCATCTTGCCCCCTCTCCTCGCTGCCGCTGTGGTACAGTCCAAACTCAGGTTAGGAATAAACCGAATTCCTCGGCGTGTACGGACCTGACCGGACTCTCAATATGGCGGCTCCCACTACGAGATACAGCGCCTGGGAGCCGCCATCTTGCCTCCTGAACAAAGCCGCCGAGGGTGTAGAGTGGGCCAAACCGCCCAGTACGGAACAGCGCAGGCTCAGGAGCCCCGCGCTGTACTCTCGCAGACAGGAAGCGGGAGAGTTCGCCAGTATGGCTGTGACAGCCGTCTCGGCTAAAGCGGTGATGGGCGTTTCAGGACCTGATAAGAGAGCCGCAAGTCGGAAGGCGGCTATGTGCGGTGAGTCCGTTAGATTGGTAACAGGAGGGAAGGGGTCTTTGAGGGTCAGTGATTGGAGGTTTATGACGTCAGGGGTGGGGAGGTTTGTGGGATTAGTGTTGGGTTTATTAGGGAGTCAGGGTTGGAGTGAGGTATGAGATTAGTAATTGGGGAATGATGTGTCAGTGATGGGGTTGCCTGTGGGATCGGAAATGGCGTGTAGGGGGACTGACTGGGGTCAGTGATTTAGGGGACCCTGGAGAATCAGTGGTTGCGGAGGGGGCTTGGACTAAATGACCGGGACATCCGTGTCGTGGTCAGTGATATCATGGTCATGGGGGAGTTCTGTGAGTGTGTCATTGCTAGGCCCGAGGATTCAGAAATTTGGAGGGAGCAATAATGGGATCAGGTAGTCATGATGATCAGCCCCAATTTACTGGGAAAGACTTTTACATACATTTAAAATTTCCACAGGTTTTAGGCAACCCTTGAGTTCTTAAAGTTTAGACCTCCTTCTCAGTTCACCATTGCACCCTGAGCCTGGTGCTTCTCCACCCACCACGATCATTTTAAAACAAGACCGAACAAATAAAAAAGGATGGATTATTACCAAAAGTGTGACTTTCGGCCTTTTTCTAAGCTTATTGAAGTCATTTTATATTTTATTCAAGAAACACTTACTGAGCACCTGCCAGGTACCCAGACATGAGCATCACTATTTTGGTTGTTTCCTTCCAGATCAGTTTTGACAACGCCTGGAATACTCCATATAAAACAATCTCCCTGTCATGGGAGCATTCAGTTCCTCTGAACCAGTTCAATGTTGTCTGCATGACTCCTCCTGGGACTGAAAAAAATTAACCAGGTATATACCTTCCTGCACTGTAATATATTGTCTTGTATGAGTGGTTCCAACCTATCACCATTTTTATATGCAGATGACTGCACTGTTGAAAATCTGCAATTATAGTTTAAACAGAAAACATCTTTTTTTTTAATTAAAGATTTTTATTTATTTGTCAGAGAGAGAGAGAGCACAAGCAGGGGGAACAGCAGAGGGAGAGGGAGAAGCAGGCTCCTCACTGAGCAAGGAGCCCGATGTGGGACTCGATCCCAGGAACCTGGGATCATGACTTGAGCCGAAGGCAGACGCTTAACAACTGAGCCACCCAGGCGTCCCTAAACAGAAAACATCTTAAAATTAACATTTTGGTCCATGAATATTGTTTGGAAGGAGAATTTACTGAGTTGACGGAAAATATAAAAGATCTCTTGGGAGATTATTAGAATTCAGCTACTGATTCTTTCTGGGGAATAAGGGAATACATTTCTCAGTTTTCCATTTGATCATGGCCATTCTTAGTGCTAGGGTAGTCCATCTGCAGTTAATCTTTATATAAATCTAGGGATGCCTGGGTGGCTCAGTCGTTAAGCGTCTGCCTTTGGCTCAGGTCATGATTCCAGGTCCTGGGATCGAGCCCCGCGTTGGGCTCCCTGCTGGGCGGCAAGCCTGCTTCTGAACCCTCTCCCACTCCCACTGCTTGTATTCCCTCTCTCACTGTGTCTCTCTCTGTCAAATAAATAAATAAAAATCTTTAAAAAAAAAATCTTTATATAAATCTATTCATCTTTATTGCCTTATAAAAATATTCTACAAATGGAATTATTGGTTCTTAGGGGAACAATAAGCTCTTAGTCAGTATGAAACATATCTATACAATTAAATCACCTTGACCAAGTTCTGTATCATCATAGTGTAGTCACAAGAGGACTTCCTTCACCTAGTGCTTCCTGACCCTTCTGCAAGGACCAAACAGCCTTATCCCTGGTTGTCCCATCATCCACCTGACTTCTAGTGGTGAATGTTTCTGGATTGGTGAATGTGGAAGCTGCAGACTGGGTCTGGTCTGTGAAAATGTCCTTCTGATCACTAGTTTTGCTCTTTCAGGCATCTGCCCTGTTGGAAGAGAGCAGAAAATGATGAAGTCCCAGGTGAGTTGCTTTTACTTTTAATTTTTAAAGTTTCCTCTTTCATTTTCTGTCCCGTCAAATGGGGAAGTACAGATAACTAAAATTTGGAGTAGGGAAAAGGTAACCAAAATAAAGATCAAGACCTAGAAAGAGTTCTAGGTAACATGTGGATAACCTGGCCTGAAAACATTTTTAAAAATGGATGTATCAATTTTTCTGATCTTCTTGCAGACATCATCAGTTACACAGTCCTCTAAAGAGAAAACAGATACATGTCTCATGGAAAGAAATTATTTCTTGCCATGTAAGACTAAAACAGATTTCCATTCTGGATCTTTTTCTAGGTGGTGGAGTATACAGTGTTCTCACCAACACTCCTGTGGTAAATGCAACAGTAGATTTCTTATAGCTGTATCATAAAATGATCTCTTTTAGAGGGAAGGTATCATAATGTCATAGATAAACGCCTTGAACCTTATTCTTCAGAGCTGGGCACATCAAACTCCCGCCTGTAGGCCCAATCCAGTTGTCTGTTTTTATGAACAGTTTTATTGGTAGCACAGCTGAACCGTTTGTTCATGTATTGTTGTCTACGGCTGTTTTCCTGCCACAATGGCAGCGTTGGGTAAGTCACCAGAGACCATATGGCCTGCAGTGCTGAAAATACAAACTTTACGGGAAAAGTTTGTTAGATTTCTGGTTTAGAGGACCTAATTGATTACAGAGGCTTCCTATTGTCCAGTTTTATCTACTGATAAAATCTAGTTAACACAGGATACGTACATTTTGAATGGTCTTCCAAAATCTATTTTCTTCCCAAAGGGCCGTTCTTAAATTGTAATTATCTGGCAAAGCTTTGTAGAGCACAGGCCCCTGATGTTCCGTACCCTTCGTTTGATTTCAGATTGTGTAGGATCACTGTCCAACTCAAGGCCAGTTCCTTCTCTGCGCTTCCATTTTTAACAGTCTACATTACTTTTTCTCCCTGCCAACATTAGCTATATACACGGTATATAAGTTTTGAACTATATAAACGATAAAAATTTAAAAACTGAGACTCATTTTAACTCTCTTCCTCCTGAGATTATCAGTGTTCACCATTTGTTTGTAATCTTCCAAACCTTTTCAGTATGAGTATAACTGATTAAGTGTGTACCTGTGAAAGTACAGATGTATAAGAGTGTCTCTTTATTGTGTTTTTCTTTTGGAAAAATAATGTTAGAGTAAACATTCTGTGCTGCAACTTGTTTTTTAATTTTACTGTCCCATGTAAAGATTTTTTACTATTTTCCCGTGCCAGTACCTAGATTTCTTTATTATCTTAGCAGATGCATAATATTTCTTTGCAGCCTGGTTGACCTGGGACTGTTTTCTTATCTTTATAATGGAGCTTAGAATCCTCATAGGGTTGTTGTGAGAGTTAAGCGAATAAAAACCATGCCTGGAACTGTATCTGGGGATGGTTTGTTCTGTATTAAGTGTTAGTTGTTATTGTTAGTATTATTATTATATCATCATCACTGTTATTGTCAAATCTAGAAATCTCATGTATATTTTACAGTAGACCTAACAAGTGAGTTCTATTGCGAAAAGAGGGTGTTGTTTTCTTCTTTGGAGTTGTGCTGTCCAGCACGGAGCCACCAGCCACATGTGGTTACTAAACATTTGAAATTGGCTAGTCTGAATTGAGATGTGCCATAAGTGTAAAATACATACTGAGTTTAGAAGATATAGTTCCAAAAAGCTCACTAATAATTTTTAAAGATTGGTTACACTTTGAAATGATATTTTGGATGTATTGGGATTATTATATATATATATATATATAATATTTGAAAATTAGTTTTTGATTATGGCTACTAGAAAGTTTAAAATTACCTATCTGGTTAGTCTTATATTTCTGTTAGAGCAGCTTTAGGGAAGGAAAATGGATTTTTTATTAGCTTAATAAATCCAACTACCAGAGCTAATTAACTGATTTTATGCCTCTTCCTGTAAGAAGAGGGATTTGTATTTTTTCCATAGTGTCCAGAAGTGAAGTCATGTTTGCACACATGTCTATTCTCATTTTCTTTTTCTAACACCTGCTCTCCATCTCTTCCATTCTCCCAGTCACCCAAGCCACAAAAAAGTGTTTATAGATGATAAAAGTACAATTTCCTACTGATTATGTACTGTATTTTTCTCACAATTAACAAAATCTATACATACTTAGTATATTGAAGCATTTGAGTATATATATTTTTAAGATTTTATTTATTTGAGAGAGCATGCACAAGTGTGTGTGGGGGGGAGCAGAGGGAGAGGGAGCAGGAGAAGCAGACTCCCTGCTGAGCAGGGAGCCCCCATGCAGGGCTTCATCCCAGGACCCTGAGATCAGGACCTGAGCCAAAGGCAGACACTTAACCGACTGAGCCACCCAGGCACCCCGAAGTATTTGAGTATAATTAATAAAGCAAAATCCGAATGTTAGAATTACATATTAATCTTCCTGTCAGAATGGATTTTCTCTACATTCCACATTTATTTTTTTTCTCATGTCACTGTTATTCAGATCAAAAGAATATAACTGCTTAATGCACAAAACTATTTTTAACTAAATGTGAACTTGATTTTATTCTCTATAATCATCATTCGTTCCTTTTTAGCAAACATTTGTTGAGTACCTAATGTGTGTCATATGCACTGGCTGGCTGTGGAGTATCTCAAGATTTAGGTATTTTTTTTCTGGGAGGAATGCAGAGAAAAATGAGGTAAACAGATATGGAAACCAGCATTGACAAATAAAAGCTCTATAAGAGACATGGGAGCAAAGAACTGTTAAAGCAGAGATGGGGAGCAACTTAGAAAGCAACTTAGAAAGAACCAGCTTTCTAAGGAAGTAGGAAATAGGCTCAAAGGATTATTAAATCATGAGGGAAGTAGGATAAAGATGGGAAACATTTGCAAAAGTAGAAAGAGCAGAGTGGTTTTAGGAAGGCTGAGAATTTGAAGAAAACTAAAATATAGGGTGTTTCACGGGAAGTTTGACTAAGGGTGTTATTAAAACAATAAGATGCAAAAGATCTTGTTTACAATATCAAGGAGACAGTGTGGAGTGCAGTGATCAAGAACTCAAGCTATTGATTCAGAATACGTGCTTTTAAATCTGCTAGTTAATCATATATTCAGTGTATAACCTCTGGCAACTAGTTACTTAACCACTGTAATCCTCGGTTTTCTCATATGTAAAATGAGGAAATTAATAAGGCTGTTTAAGGGACAAACTAAATGCCTGGCAGCTTGATGGTGTGAATGTGGATGAGAGGCATCTTAAGATTGAGATCACTTAGATGAGACTGATTGTATATGCAATTTACAAAATTGTATATTGGGGTCCACCCTAATGACCTCATAGAATTACCTCTGCAATGACCCAATGTTTCCAAATACAGTCACATTCTGAGAAATTGGTGGTTAGTACTTTAACATATGCATTTTGAAAGGGATACAACTCTACCTTGAATGTATGGATTCGACATTATTCTTTTCCTGTTGGCTAACCAGTTGTTTCAATATTATTCTTTGAGTAATCGGTCTTCCTCTCGGTTATTTGAATGCTGCCCTTATCGTTTATTAAATTACCATTTGCATCAAGTAGGCCTTTTGATTTACCTCTTCTCTTTTCCTGATCTGTGTCTGGCACTTCTTGTAAAGACAGGATTTTGTATTGTTTCTGCTAAATACCATGATATGATATAAAAGTAGGTGTAGTACAATTTTGTATATTGCAATAGAAATGATGAGAATGATCACTTCAGGTTGAACAGGAATATACTGTTACAGGGCTTAGTATCATTCAAGGATGTGGCTGTGCATTTTACCCAAGAGGAGTGGCAGCAACTGGACCCTGCTCAGAGGACCCTGTACAGGGATGTGATGCTGGAGAACTTCAGCCACCTGGTCTCAATGGGTAAGGATGGCTTCCCTGCATAACTCAGACTTGTCCATCCAAGTTCCTTTCCTTATCAGGTGCTGTGGTTGGTAGTTCCTGACATATAATGACTTTTATGATCTTCAGACCTTCCCAAATGGAGGTCATTGTTTTTGCTGAGGGCCACCTGGATTGCTTCATTGTAGCCCTCCTGAAACTACACCTTCACTTTTTCCTTCAGTGCAATCAATCCCAATTCCTCTGTGATTTCCATTTAATAGGATATCTAGTTTCCAAACCAGATGTCATCTCTAAGTTGGAACAAGGAGAAGATCCATGGATCATAAAGAGAGACATACCAAATTGGATCTTTCCAGATGAAAATCAGGAAGATGGGAGACAAGGGAAGTAAAATATCAGTTTGTTTTGTTTTCTTAATTGATTGATGCCTGAGGTTTATGTTCTATCCTTACTGAAATCTCTTATTCTTTGTCCCTGTGCTGAGAATTTAGTAGGCATTCAACAAATAATTAAATAGTTGTAAGCTTTTAGAAGGGGGAGCTATTTCTTAACTGATCTTCTTTCTCTCTGCATATATGTATATTTTTAACACCTTTTATGAGAGGCAATAGAAAGGCAAATTCCTCCCAAGAACATAGGTTGTACTTCAGACAGTAAGACCTCCAGGTACATGGCTCTACACAATTATATGTCAAATATAGTTACTGTCTTAAAAGTTCAGAGAAAATGAGAGTCTAAAGATACAACAATTCGAAAGGCAGTTTTCAGAGCATGCAGCTGTAGCTGCTTTGAAAGATATATAAAGTGTTGATGATGCTGAAGGAGGAGGGTAAAGGCAGACTGGTGGGGAGAGAGTATATGAACAAAACCTTGGAGTTAGAGAATTAAGGCTTTTCTGGGAGAACTTTGCTAGTTTTACTTGGTACATATAGGAGGTATTAATGACAAGTAGTGGAATATAAGCTTGGGTTTTAGGTGTGAATCTGATACTGAATCCATAGCAGGATCTTGGATTTTTCTGTTGTTTTTGTTAGTTTTTAATTAGGAAAGTAGAATGAGGAGAGTTAAAGTATTTTGAGTACAGAGGGACCTTGTTTCTGTGGATAGTGGTGGCAGGATAATAGTAGTTAAATATATATATAGCAAATGGTTTATAAGATAAATGAATTCAAAAGGTGAAAAAGGTTTCCATTCAGAAAGCAGGGAAAATGGAAAGATTCTAGGAGAATAATCCAAGATTCAGAGTGATAATAACACAGATACTTTTCTGTCTCCATCAGTTCTAATTTTTTCCATGAATTTTTCTCTTTAACATCCTTTTCCATCCATTCATCTGATCATATTTTATGCTGTACTGTCCTACGAGATGGCTTGTCCCCATCATTTGTTCTGTTCTTCTGCATTCTGTTAATTGTTCTTTACAGTTGTTTTATTTATCTTTCTTTCTTTTAGACAGGAAAAGTAACCTTGACAACCCCAAAGCATGTATTTTGGGGTCTGTTTCCTTCCGTAATAATATCCTGAAAGGAGTCACAAAGGATGGTTCATTGTACTCCATCTTAAAAGTCTGTCAAGATGGTGGCCAGCTGCAGAGATGTCAGGAAAACCAAGACAAGCTTTTCAGGCAAGTAACAGTCATTAACAACAAAACAGTGACTGTGGAGTCAGGCCATAAATATAATGCATTGGGAAAAATATTCCATGATTGCATAGAGCCAGATACTTTAAGACAAAGATCCCATAACTATGATGTATTTAAAAAGAACTTGAAATATCATATTGACCTACGTAGTTGTAATAAGAGCGATTCAAGAAAAAACCCTGATGAGAGTTTTGGATGTGGAAAATCATCTAGCCATGGTGCATCTGATTCTAATCTTGAGAAAATTCACAATGGAGTAATGCCCTGTAATAATAATCAGTGTGGAAACATTTTTAGTAGTAAACAATCCCTTATTCAATATCAGAATGTTGAAACTAAGGAGAAAACCTGTGTATGTATTACATGTGGAAAAGCCTTTGCTAAGAAGTCACAGCTCATTGTACATCAACGAATTCATACTGGAAAGAAACCATATGATTGTGGTGCATGTGGGAAAGCCTTCAGTGAGAAGTTTCATCTCATTGTACATCAGAGAACTCATACTGGGGAGAAACCTTATGAATGTTCTGAATGTGGAAAAGCCTTCTCTCAAAAATCTTCCCTCATTATACATCAGAGAGTTCACACTGGGGAAAAACCATATGAGTGCAGTGAATGTGGGAAAGCCTTCTCCCAGAAATCACCCCTCATTATACATCAGAGAATTCACACTGGAGAGAAACCTTATGAATGTAGAGAGTGTGGGAAGGCCTTCTCCCAGAAGTCACAGCTGATAATACATCATAGAGCTCATACTGGAGAGAAGCCGTATGAATGTACTGAATGTGGGAAAGCCTTCTGTGAGAAGTCCCACCTCATTATACATAAAAGAATTCACACTGGGGAGAAACCGTACAAATGTGCTCAATGTGAGGAAGCCTTCAGCAGGAAGACAGAACTCATTACACATCAGTTAATTCATACTGGGGAGAAACCTTATGAATGTACTGAATGTGGAAAGACCTTCTCCCGGAAGTCACAGCTCATCATACATCAGAGAACGCATACTGGAGAGAAACCCTATAAATGCAGTGAATGCGGAAAAGCCTTCTGTCAGAAATCACATCTCATTGGACATCAGAGAATTCACACAGGAGAAAAACCTTACGTATGCAGTGCATGTGGGAAAGCCTTCTCTCAGAAGTCCCACCTCCCAGGGCATCAGCGCATTCATACAGGAGAGAAACCTTATGTATGTGCTGAGTGTGGAAAGGCCTTTTCCCAGAAGTCAGACCTTGTTTTACATCAGAGAATTCATACTGGGGAGAGACCCTATCGGTGTGCTGTATGTGGGAAAGCATTCATTCAAAAGTCACAACTCACTGTACACCAGAGAATTCATAACAGTGGTAAAATCATAATGACCTGAACACAGAAAAGCCTTCTCAGGCTCAAGCCTGACTTAGCTCAAGCCTTAATAAATACTAGGAACCTGACTGATTTGATATTTATGGGACATCTTTATAGATAAAATTTTACAAGAGAATTCATGTCTGTAGTGTGGTGATACCTAGCTCAGCAAAGATGATGGAAAATAATCATAAATGAAGAACATTTTCAACATGGTGTATAAAACTTTTAAAGTTATGGTCATTAGAACAAATTATGTATATAGAATATTGTCAAGTTACATATTCTTTATTATACTACATTAACAATAACCAGACATTGTGAAATTGCTAATATTAGCTTGGCATAATTTTGGCCATACAGTAATTCCCAATAAAGGACATGAGGAAAGCTTGAGTAAAAAGAAAAAGAAAGAAAATCAACTCCTAGAAACTACATTATTAGGAGGGGCTTGGCATGACCCCTAAAGATACATGTAAAATTCTTGTACAAAGATGGAAAGATAGGTGGATCAGATTCAATACAGGTGATGTTTATGCATTTTCCCATCTCAAGCATATAAGTTGACCTGTCTCTCTGGAAGGATCCTGGACCTTGAAATCAATGCGCCTTGACCTGATCTCCCATTTATTCTTCCTCATTGAGAGTTTGGTATTGTGGAAATGCTTTGGTACTGAGCCAGATGGTCTTGTGTTTTAATCCTGGCTTAGCTACTCACAGATTGTGTGACTTCAAGCAAGCCTGCTTCACCCATCTGAATATTTTCTGTTATCATTAAAAAAATGTAGAGCACATTTTCAGTTAATATTAGTTCTTTTTATCTTTCTCTTTATCCTCCTGCAACTGGATGCTAAGACTAATGTGTGAAAACTACATCTAAACTTGCTTTGCATTCCAGACACTCTGCTTTTGATATCCCATTCCCATTACTGTTCATTTTACTGTCTTTGACCCTGGTAGCCTTGATTCTTGGTATGTTAAGGTGACATTTTATTATGTTTTTATTATTTTTTACATACATTTATATAAACTGGTGATTACACATAAAGATCCTGTCTAATGTCTCTCCAGTTCTTTTCTGACTCCTGCCCTTGCCACAACTGTTTTCCCTGGGAACAAAGGACACTTGCAGAGCAAAACTCTTGGGATGAGAAAGTATGCCTGCCACAGATTTGAGAATTTGATATCTCTAAAATATCTCTTGCTCTCTTTCCTGTTGTTTTGCCTATTCCTCCATGAGCACCCTTGTTTGTGGTGCCTGCAGAAGGGCAATACTTGGCAAGAATGAGGGTGTCTGTATACTTATGTTCACATAGTTCTTCATATAGTTCCCACTTGATTCCTTCACATTTCCTGCCCACCTGATCCTCTTCCTGAAGGGCTGAACTGTCTCTTAAGAAAAAATGGGGACCCTCTGGGTAAGAACCTCTGCAGGGGAGAGGACATGCCTAATGGGGATGTGAGACATTCCTAGTTTGTGTGGATAAATTCTTGACTTCATTATGAACAGTGAGCTGAGAACACTGACATCAGATATAAATTGACCATTCAGACCCAGGAAAGAAGGCCTAGGAGTACAGATTTTGGGTTGAGCTACTCTGACATTTTCTCATGGAAGATGTCTCAACTGATCCTTATGAAGGCATGAGAAGGACCAAAAAATAAATAAATAAAATAATTTTGTGAACACACAGAAATTTAGTGAAGAGTGAGTTCTATATAGTGACAGCTATGGAACTAATGTAGATATAACAAAGATTCATAATTCCTACTTTACAGGCCTCCCATTTGGTTTCCCACTGTCACAAACCTCCAGCCAACCTTGTTGATCTGATGATGGACTTCTATAAGCATCCCAATTTAGACTTAGCACCTACTAATTTAATACTTCACCACTTCTTTTTTGAGCATTTTATTAGAGGAGCTAATCAGTGCAATGCAGCAAGAATAGGAAAATAGGCATAAGGATTAGAAAGGAAAAAGTAATATGGACATTGTAGATTATGCAATTGTGTATAAGAAAAGCAAAAATATACTGATTAAATATTAGAAATAAAGGAGTTTAGTTGCTTTATACAGTTTCAATATTGAAAAATAAACTAATTCTACATATGAGCAGCAGAGCGAAATTTTTTTTTAAGATTTTATTTATTTATTTGACAGAGAAAGACACAGTGAGAGGGAACACAAGCAGGGGCCAGTGGGAGAGAAAGAAGCAGGTTTCCTGTGGAGTAGGGAGCCTGATGCAGGGCTCAATCCCAGGACCCTGGGATCATGACCCGAGCCAAAGGCAGACGCTTAACGACTGAGCCACCCAGGTGCCCCACAGCAGAGTGAAAATGTAAAGATACCATTTACATTAGCATCAAAAATAAGGACCACCTGAAATAAATCTAATTATGTGGTGTAGGACCACTATATAGAAAATTATAAAACATTACTGAATAAATTAAGGCTTAAATAAATTGAGGGATTTATCAAGTTTTTTGGCTGAAAGACTCAATATTAAAGATGCCTATTTTCCCCCAAAGTGATTTATACACTGGGGAGATGAGGAAAGAAATTGAAATCCAAAGGAATAAGCCCATTCATAAATACAGAGTTAGCTTATTTTATTGAGCAACAACAAAATACCATATAGCATGCAGGTAACGAGCAACTGGCTACAAATTTCTGTGAGGATTTTTAGCTCTATTATATGGAATTAAAACTACGGTTATTATGAATCATCCTACTGTTAGTAAATGGCATATACTCCATTTTTATCAGTAGTTAACTGAGCTTGCTCTGATGTCCTGTTATGCTTAATTCTGTATCAGGCTTATTCTGATAGTCTATTCTTCATAATTTTAACAGTACCTCTTCCTATGGTTGCCCATAGCACTGGATGTTGCACATATGATTATTCATATCCTTTGGCATCCCTCAATAAAGATCAATTTCCCACAATATTCAATGCATTTCATATAAAAACCCCAGTAAGCTTTCTTTTTTTTTTTTTTTTTTGGAAATTTTACAATTTAATTATAAAATCACATATGGAGATGTTAAAAAGCAAGAATAGCCAAGATACTTTTGAAGAGCAAACTTGGAGAATTTACCAGACAAAAACTTCCTGTAAAGTGATAAAAGACAATGTGGTATTGCACATGGGTAGTCAAATAGACCAATGGTAAGAGAATCCAGAAACAGAGAGTTACCTGTAGATTCTTGAGTTATGACAAAGTTGGCAATGTAGAATAGCAGGAGAAAAGTAGTACTTCCATAAATGTTTCTGGCTCAGTTATCCATACAGGTAAAACAAAAAATGAAAACTTAAATTACTGCATACTACTCACAAAACCGGTTCCACCTAAACCTGTAATATAAGGAAAAGTATTGCAATAAGTATAGATCAGGCAAGAAAAAAGCCTGAAAATATCTAAGCATCCAACTCAATAGGTTAGAATAAAAACATTGTGAAATAAACTCCAAGAAAGTAAAAAAGAAAGTGATAATAAGAAGATGAAAAATAGAGGGGGAAAAAAAACATAAAATAGGAACAACAAAACAACATTATTGATGAAAAAGATCATTAATCCCATGGCAATACAAAGAAAAAGAAGGCATAAATATCCATAACAAGCAATGAAAGGAAACAGCATCACTTAAGAATCTGCAGATAATTAAAAGATCTTAAAAAGATTTGAGTACAACTAAATAAAAGATAATGACAATTCTACAATATCTATTCCAGAAAAGAGAAGAGCAAGGATCTTTGACATATTTTATGACCATGATGCTAAAGCCAGACAGAGACATAAGAAAAAACAGTTGGTGACCAGTATTTCTCCTGAACATAGGCCATAGCCATCCTTAATATTTGCACATCAAATTTAGCAATATTTTAAAAGGAAAGTACATCATGGCCAAGTAGAGTTGAATTCAAGAATGCAAGATTGGTTCAATATATGAAGCCAATTGGTGTACTTCATCATAACAGTAGCCTAAAAAAAATAAACATATGATCATTTCAATTGATGCAGGAAAATTATTTGACAAAAATTCCACACCTATTTAGAATAAAAACTAAGCAAACTAGAAATAAAGGACAGCTTCTTCCTATTGTTATAAGGCATCTGTAAAAAAATCTAGTCATCATATTTAATGGTGAAAGACTAAATGCTTGCCCCCAAGTTTTTTTTTTTCTTCAAAAAGTCAAAGCTGTATACTTTGCTCTTCCTAATGAACACTGTGCTAGTGATCTTAGCTACTGCAGTAGGGAAAACAAAAAGGGAAGGTGGTGGGGGAGGGTAGTGCATAGGTTTGGGAAAGGAAGAAATAAAATTGTCTCTATTTGCAGACAACATGGTCTTCTACACAGAAGATCTCAAAAACTACAGAGAACCTAATAGACTTCATAAGTGGCCTTTGTGGGGAATTTAAGAAATGAGCAAAGGATGAAAAAAAAAAGAGAGAGGCAAACTAAGAAACAGACTCTTAACTATAGAGAACAAGCTGAAAAAACAAACCCAAAGGGGAGGGGGGCAGAAATGGGTGAAGTAGGTGATGGGGATTAAGGAGTGCACTTGTGATGAGCACCAAGTGACGTATGGAAGTGTTGAATCACTATATTGTACACCTGAAACTAATATTACACTGTCTGTTGACTAACTGGAATTAGTAAAAACTTTTTAAAAAGTGGCTCTTGCAAAATATCTAAGTAAATGGAGAGATACATAGTGTTTATGGATGGAAAGATTCAATGTCAAGATATTAATTCCCCCCAAATTGATGTGTATATTCAATCTAATTACCCACAAAAAAATTCCAACAGGCATTTTTATGGAAATTGACAGGCTGATTCAAAAATTTATATGGAAACGCAAAAGAGCTAGGATAAACAAAATATCTTTGGTGAAAAAAAGAAGGGGAAGAATCATTACCTGATTTCAAGGCATATAAAGTTAGAATAATCAAGGCTGTGGTATTGGTATAAGAATACCAATCGAACAAGATAGTCTAGAAACCAAACCATACATATATGGACAATAGATTTTCAACAAAGTTGTTAAGATAACTCAGTTGACAAAAGGTAGTCTTTCCAACAAATAATGCTGGAACAATCGGAAATCCATATGCAAAAACAAAAACAAAATAAAAAACAAATAAAAAGAACTTTGATCCATAGTTCACACCATATACAAAAATCAACTTGAAATAGATCATGGACATAACATGTAAAAGTAAAAACTATGAAGTTTTGGAAGGAAACAGAAGATAACAGTTTTGTTATGCAAAAGTTTTTCAGGCAAGACAAACACAGCGTTAAATTAAAAATTGATAAATTAGTGTTCATTATAATTATCAGTTATGTTCCTTGCAATACACTGTTAAGAAAATGCCATTGTTATAACACTTCAGATTCATACTGCATATTGCCTCTGCCAGACTTGGAGTCAGCCATTCCTTAGTGGGCAATGGTATTTGAAAACCCCAATCTGGCTGCTTCAGGTGCTCCTAACCAAAGGCGTGTCATTGAGTCTTGACTACCATCAGTGGACATGGCAAGGAATCACAACATACTGTTTTAAGTTATGAGCTTATACTGATCTATTCATATTTTTCATAAAACCCTGATATTTTACTAGTACTTTCATCTTACACTGAAAATAATGGTTCCCAAACACATTAGCAGAATTACTTATTTTATCTTACAGTGTGCTTAAACATTTCAAATTTTCAACACTAATATTACTTTAACAATAAATGAACAAAAACATAACAGATGAACAAAATCTATTCTTATGTTGATACCTTAGTTATTTTTCCATTTCAATGGCTATAAAAATTCAACCAAGTTAAAAATAATTTCATTAACAAGCTAAAAATGTGAACAGGATTAGGTATTTAAGGAAGTATAGTCATATATTAGATGGTCTATGAAAACTCAAATTCCCCCTTCTTACTACCCAC